ACTTCCCTGCAGAGGTATGTGCCACCTGCCGAGACCTCTTGCCCCTCCTTTGACCCCGCCCCCATGTAAAACTTTCTAGATCTGCCTCTGGATTTGATTTAAAACAGAAAGAAGCAGGACGGATTGATGCAGTTGAAGTTTCAGTGAAGGGCGCCCCCTGGTGACTGCTATGGTCTCTGCACCTTTCCCGTTAGTTTTCTCTTTGAGGTTGTCCTTATTAAATCCACAGGATGTTTTCAGGTCGAGTGACTGTGAAAGCTCCTGAAGTCACAGAGCCCATCTGAGCGTTTCACACCTCAGAATCGACAACAAGACAAAGTCATCCTCCTTTAATCTTCGGCTTCATGATTTTTCTCCTGTAACTTCTTCCCCTTCTAATAGTGAAATGTTCCCGCGCCCCTGGCTGCTGCGCATGCTCAGTCAATTGCCTCAGTTCTCTTTCTGTTTGACTTTATCACTAATTTACTAAATGATTGATTCCTTGCAGGACTGCGCATGCTTTGTGGCTGTGAGGAGCGCTTTATTGATGATGCCTTCAATGTATAATCGTAAACATTCCTCTCTGCGGACACAGGTCACATCCACACTGAGATTTACATTATTATTATTACTATTTTTAAAGTTGGTGAACCTTTAAAAATAACAAGTGTAAACACTGATCAGTCCATACATCCATACAGAGCATTTCGCAGCAGGACACTGGTGGGTTTCTTGACATTCACTTATATTTCTGAGAGATTAAGCTTAAGACTGACTCAGCTGTCACAAAACCATTCGTTGTTTCATAGCCGTAACTCTGTCCTAGATGACTCCCTAGTGTTTCCTTGTTTTCTCTTCCCAGTGTTCCCAGTGCCATCATATTTACATTCCTCAGTCTGCATGCTTTGCGCCACCTTCTGCCATGTTAACTGTGTGTAGTACAGCACCACTTGCATAAAGTTGGGACCCTGCGCTAAAGAGAACACAAGGATCTCTCATAAACCCAAATTTAATTTATAACAGAACATGGAAACGTTAAAAGAACAAAACAAAACATGCAATCAGATCAAAACATCTGAAATAGTACCACTTTAAGAAAAACATGAGTTCATTTAGAATTTAATGACAACAAAACATAAAAAAATAAGTGATACTAGAAAGAAACAGCTGGTAACACGTCAGTAACATGTTTATGTTTATTTAAAAAAAGCATATCAAAGTTAAAATGAACTGAGGTTCACAAATCTGCAAAAAACTGTGTTTCAGAATAATGCTCCTCAACATAAAATATCTCATCATCTGCAGTACAACATCATCACACGACAATCTGAAGAAATCTCTGAAAAAGGCTGAAAATGAATATTGGGCCTACTGTGATCTTTGGGCCCTTCAGGAGGCACAGCGTTAAAAACAGGCATGATTCTGTCACGGAAATCCATGCATGGAGTCGGGAACACTTCCAGAATTCCCTGTCTGTCACAGCTCACCGTGCCATCTGAAAATACAGGTTAAAACTTTAACATACAAACAAGAAGCCACGTGAACATGATCCAGAAAACCTCCTGCCTTCTCTGAGCCAAAGCTCATTTAAAATGGCCTGAGATAAAGTGGAAAACATGGATCCTGAGTCTTCTGGAATAAAGATGAGAGGGACCATTCTGGCTTGTTATCAGTGCTGCATCTCTGTGGTAAGGGGTGCATTAGTGCCAATGCAATTGGGAGCTGGCACATTTGGAAAGTATCCATCAATGCTGAAAAGTATATACGGGTTTTAGAGGAACATATACTGCCATCTTTTTCAGGGAAGGCTTTGCATGTTTCAGCAAGACAATACGGAACTGCATACTGGATCTATAACAGCATCATGGCTTCATAGCAGAAGGGTTGTGGTGCTGAACAGGCCTGCCTGCAGATCAGACCTTTCACCATATGAGAGCGTTTGAAGCATCATGAAATGAAAAACAACAAAGAGGATCCAGGACTGTGGACTCCCATCATTCTTATATCATATTATTTTATTTACCTGATAAATCTCCCCACCTTTAATATAAAACCTGTTGAATGCAGCTTTTGTATAAATAGTTACAAATTGTAAATTCTATTTAAGTATAAAATATATTTTTACATAATGTGTTTAAAGCTGCTCAGTTTAAGAATATTCTGGAAGAAAAGTTACACGAGCTCCATCAGAAACTTCAAAATCGTACAGACCTAGAGCCCGGTTGGTGACTCCACCACAACCACTGGGGACAAATGTTTATCCCTCGACCGGTTGGCGAGTGGCCGCTGGAAGCTGCTTTCTGTTTTTAGGTGAAACCAGTCATCTGCTGTGCTTCACTAAAAACCTTCTTGTGATTGCTCTGGTTGCAAGCAGATTGCTGCAGTTGTCATAGTTCGCGTGGAAGATGTTGACTTGCCTACAATCGGTGCCAACTAGTCACCGAGCAGTATTGAAGCAGTGAAAAGTGCAAACAAACCAGAAACACACTACAGCATGGATGCATGACTTTAACTTCCCAAAACATAAAACTTTTTTGAAACTCCTGGAGTTTCTTTTGTTAAGATGCTCGTTTGGAAATCCCGTGTTTATGACTCGTTCAGCTTCAAAATTCAGCAGCTCAGTGTTCATATATGTATTTAAACCATCTGTGGAATTTTAAAAGTGTCACGGCGAGTGAGAAGAGCCGTGTGGAAGAAATGAAGGAGGGTCCAAACGCAGGCAGTCGTGAAGGTGTGAAGGTGGTTTATTGAATAAACGGCAAAGGGAAAGTGGCAAACGAAGACAAACTAAACTATACTGAAAAAACAACTGAACTACAGCGCAGAAACCAGAACACGAACATGAAGGAGGGCGAGCAGAGGCAGACGATGGTAGACAGCAGGGAACACACGGATGAAACATGGTGAATACACAGACGGACCAGCAACTACAATGACAGAAGACGCGACTTAAATACACTCAGAGAAACACAGGGAGATTACACACAGGTGGGGGACACAGCTGGGAGTAATCAACAAGACGAGACAGAGGTAAAACTGAACACACACACACTCACATGAGATGCAGACCTTCACAATAAAACAGGAAACAAGAACACTACACAAAGACGCAGACTCGACACTGAGAGACACACAGAAAATGACACATGGAACTAAACCCACACAAAAATGGAACTCTAATAATAATCATCATCATAGCACCAAAAACCACAACAATCATTCAAAAATAAACTAACAATCAAAACTCAAAATACTGGTTTGAAACTGACCCAGAACCGTTACAAAAAGCATATTTCAGGCATCTTACCAAACAGTTTTCCATGTTTATAGACTAATTCCTGCAGCACTTAGATAAACAGGATTTCTGTCGATCCTCGGTGCTCTTCAGCAGCTTTAATGTCAGAACATTTCTACCTCAATGTGTTTGGAACAGACCAGATCTCTTAGTTTGGATCATCGTGTTTTGTTTAGATCATGCTGATTTCCTTCCTTTTTGCTCTTTCTACTCTGCAGAGCAGTTGTATATTCTTCTGCAAAAACCTGAAAAACATTTGAGCTGTAAACATTTTATTTTCATTTAAAGCAGGAAGAAAGCAGGAATGTCAAAAGTGTTTGGACAGTGAATGTTCTGGTGTCAGAAAGTCCTGTTGCACCATGTTCAGTGAAGAAATACCTTTATCTGTAACAGTGAGTTTAAAGAGTTTCTGGAGACTTTGTGCTTTTAAAAACAAATGTAAAAGTTTCGATATAAAGAGTTTTATCAATGGTGCTGTATGGTGTGGTGTCATCTTCTATCTTTCAGTACGCTAGCTGCCTGTTCACAGTTTGAAAAGTTATTTACATTTACACAGAGAAATTGTTTTTCAGAATTTTGTTCTGGAGTTTAAATTAAGCTTTCATAAAAATCAAAGCCTCGAAGGATCATTAGGCAGGAGGTGCTGTTATGGACAATTAATTTCACCAGGCAGGAACAAGCTGGTCCAGTGCACATGCTCAGTAGGAATCTGTCCCTGTCTTTGTAAAAAGAGCAAGACTTCAAGATTTACAAGTCTTTGTAATTAATCCCTGCACTTGATTTCTGTCATGTCTTATATCAGTGTCCACCATTCTTGGTTCAATCTTAACATTTCAATTGCTTATTTAAATAAATATGACTTTTAATTAATCGATGTTAAGAGTTTTAGGATCCAAATATACTCTAAATCTAAAGTAAAAGAATTCATGATAATAGTGGATCATCATAATAAACAACTATAAATGAATCCCACATCTGGTACTATACGTGCTCGCATCCATAGAGAGAACTTGAGGGCAGAAGAAAATTAAGCAAACATGAGTAATTAAACCAATACATTCAGTAAAGGACTCCATAGCCCTGCGATAGAGTGCAAAATTAATATTTCTTTGTTCCGTTATGTTTAACCAGTTTAATGACGTGTGGAAATCTGACAATGATTTAGGTCATTTTGATGAGAAATCTAGAAAAGTGTTGATAAACTGTCAAACCCTGCTGCAGTTGTGAAGTTGAAATGCCATCATCCTATAAGAAGGTTAAACTGTGGTCACGTGATCTCCTCAAACGTAAAGTGGAGGAGAAGGTGTAAAACAGAAAGTGAAACCAGCGGCTGTTGCGGAGGTTTGTTGAACTTAACATAAAGTCCAGGTAAAGATCACTTCTGCTGTAAGCTGTGTTTAACATGTGCGGTGCTCTCGCGTGTCTTTAACAATCATGTAATCGATGGTCTTTCCTGTGTTTGGCTGATCCACGTAATTCAATTCAATTTTATTTATATAAATCACAACAAAAGTCGCCCCAAGGCGCTTCATATACTTATACGTACTTGTGTACATGTTGAAACAGCCGACAGAGCAAAAGTGGACTGGTCTTGGGCGACTTTTGAACAAACCTGTCTTCATTCTCACATTGTGCGTTCGCAGAATTGTTGTTTACAAGTGCTTGAAGATGAATAATTTGGAGGAAGAGGAGGACAGAACACCGTCTCCTGTGTCTGTGGCCAGTGACTGGTCCAAAGGTCGTCCCCCAAACTTCAGTAATGAACCGGGACCCTTAGACACAAAGTAAGAGGCTGTTTCTGCTTTACACTGACCTGAAAATGAGCCAGAGTTAGTGGTAGTGTCTTTAGTTGTAGAATAATGTTGTTCTTCCGGTTTTTGTTTTGTTTTTATTGTTTTTGTTAAATACCACAACTACCTGATACCTCTGCATAGTTAGGGACTCCACCCAGGGACTAGGTTGACCAGATATCCACAAACTAAATGTAGGGTAAAGACTTAAAAAAAAATCTTACTAATACGCTTTTTGGGTTTCAGGCATGGTAATGATGATGTGAAGGATAAACCTATAAAGAACACAGAAAAAGTAACAGTAAAATCAAACAGCAAACTGTACATATAAAGTTTATTTCCCAGCATAGAATCTATAATACACTTAAAACAATCTTTAAATGAAAGACTCAGAGAAAACGTGTTGTGAAAGTCGGAACATAATCCGCTCCTGACAGTTTTCATTTCTGTTGTGTCAGCAACAGACTTGGTGTTGTTTAAGGGTTTCAGAGTAAAAATGAAATATAAAAACAGATTTCAAACGTAGTGTACGTACAAACTTCTTATGAGGTCAGCGGAAAGTGTCCTGTTTCAATTTTATTTACACAGCGCCAAATCACAACAACAGTCACCTCAACGCGCTTTATATTGTAAGGTAGACCCTACAATAATACATACAGAGAAAAACCCAACAGTCATATGACCCCCTATGAGCAAGCACTTTGGCGACAGTAGGAAGGAAAAACTCCCTTTTAACAGGAAGAAACCTCCGGCAGAACCAGGCTCAGGGAGGGGCGGGGCCATCTGCTGCGACTGGTTGGGGTGAGAGAAGGAAGACAGGATAGAAGACATGCTGTGGAAGAGAGACAGAGATTAATAACAAGTATGATTCAGTGCAGAGAAGTCTATTAACACATGAGTGAATGAGAAACATGACTGAAGAAGAAATACTGCATCATGGGAATCCCCCAGCAGCCTACACCTACTGCAGCATAACTAAGGGAGGATTCAGGGTATGGGGCCTGATTATTTAAGACCTTGTATGTGAGAAGCAGGATTAATTCTTATAGAACAATAATGCTGTTGTGAAAATGTTTTCTACCAACAGAAAACAAAAAATTAAAATTAAAAAATCTATATTTGTTATGTATTGTTGATCCTCATTAGGGGAAACAATAATTTGGAGGAAGAGGAGGATGGAACATCGTCCCTTGTGCCCAGCTGTATGTCTGTGGCCAGTGACTGGTCCAAAGGTCGTCCTTCAAACTTCAGTAATGAACTCGGACCCTCAGACACAAAGTAAGAGGCTGTTTTGTTTTACACTGACCTGAAAATGAGCCAGAATCAGTGGTAGTGTCTTTAGTTGTAGAATAATGTTGATCTTCCTGTTTTTTGTTTTTGTTTTTTCCCTGCAATTCATATGTAATAATTTTATTTTTATTGTTTTTGTTAAATACCACAACTACCTGAGTCAACACACCCGGATCAACTAATTAGTTCATTAGCAGGCCTCTGGAGAACTTTAAGACATGTTGAGGAAGTAATTTAGCCATTTAAATCAGCTGTGTTGAATGAAGGATACATCCCCACCCCACAGGCACTTGAGGCCTGGAGTTTCCCCACCACTGATTTAGACCCTCCAACTCTCCCCATAGATGTCTGAGAGATCTTCTAGAAATGGTGATGTTAATTTCTGGTTAATCGATTGGTCAGTAGGGGATTATTTTATACCAGTTAATCTCCAATCTTGAACGTAACAGGATAGGTTACCATGGCGATTTACCTCGGTAAGATGTGAACCACCTTCACAGGTGGACAAAATGCTGCTTGGTAGTAGAGTTCTCAGGAAGAGACCGAAAAGCAGATATCAGGAAAATACTGTCATGATAAAACCTCTTCCTTGTAAACAGATGTGTCGACAGGGTGCTGAGAGCTCGTGTTTTGGATTAATATAAGTTCTGATGGTGTAAAAGGAAATTATTATTGCTTGATAAGTAAAGAAAGAGCATTTACTTAGTAATAGACCATTCTGAGACTTTGAACTTAATTAACTTCATGTTTAGCAACATGGCCAGAATAAGTTTCCCTTTCTATCCACAGAAAGAACAAGTGTGTGCCGGAGCCCGTGTCCTGCTGTGCTTCGTGTCAGGATGTCGTGAATGACCCAGTCTCTAACATCTGTGGACACTTGTTCTGCAAACAGTGCATTGATTTGTGCCGGGATTCTGATTCATCAAGAGACACTGGTCCCCCGTGTGGAAAAAAATCCAGAACCAGTTATGGTAAATATATGTACACATATAAATATATGTACACATATATAAATATATGTAAAAAACTATATATAAATTTTGTTTTCTTGTCTTTATTGTCTTTCAGTAGATGATGGCCTTCAGGAAGTTTTCGATGAACATAAAATCTGTTTGAAGATGCGATGTCAATCTGTGACTGAGGGAACTGATAAAACAGGAGGTGAAACTCTCCTCAACGCAATCTACACTGAGCTCTACATCACAGAGGGACAGAGTGAGGAGGTTAATACCCAACATGAAGTGAGTCAACTTGAGACAGCTTCAAACAAGAAGACCCTCCATGATGCTCCAATCAAGTGTTGTGACATCTTTAAAGCCTTACCTGACCAAAAGAGACCCATCAGAGTGGTTCTGACCTACGGTGTTGCTGGCGTTGGAAAAACCTTCTCAGTGCAGAAGTTCACTCTGGACTGGGCAGAAGGTTTGGAAAACCAAGACATCAGTGTGGTGATTCTGCTTTCATTCAGGGAGCTGAACCTGATCAGAGATGGGCAGTATAGTCTCCTGGAGCTGCTCCAGGTTTTC